TTACATACTATCCCTTTTAACAAAGTTTTATCCTCAAAACTTGAACATGCTTGTAGGTCAACCATATCATTTGGAAAATTTCCTTAACCCGCTCACATGATTTATGATCATACACATTGCTATAATTATCGTCAATACTTACTTAAATCTCCTCCAACAACTTAACAATTATAACTTCTAACATTAGTCAATTCAATTGTTTACATGAGTACTAAAATAATTTATAAAACTAGGCTCATTATCCGTAGAAAACTAGGGATATTACAATGATAAACTTGTGGTCTTGCTCTTTTTAATATCGAACTTGATTCAACTTCTTCTAACCTGTATACAATACCTTAGCAATATATTAGACCAATAAGAAGGTTTGTTATTCAAAGTCAATTGTATAGATACGATTCAAACAAATGGAGCAATAAGTCATTCACGATGTTTTTAAAATTTCTGAAAGCTTCTATTCCTCCAAAGAACAATGTGCCTTAAAGCTGGTATGAATCTCAATGGATAATATCCAATCTAGGTTTTAATTATGAGAAGATGTATGCATGTCCCAATAATTGTGTACTGTACTAGAAAGTAAATTCAAATGGCATTCTAGTGTGGAGTGTATACATATAAGAAGAAAGTACATACTAACAAGACTAACATCTCTATCAAGAAAGTTTGATACTTTCCTGTAGCAGTTCCAACCGTTAGGTAGGTCTTCTTTGTCGAGTGTTGGCATGTCAATTAAATTTTGTCATGTTATTTTCTATATTAATTCTTAGTAGACTAGTGATAATATTTAGATTGTACATTGAACATAAAAAATTATTTCAAAAATAGTTCTAGTGGAATGCATTGCCATAGCAATAGCATTGATGCTCTTATATTTCTATATTATTCTTAGCAGTTAGCTCATACGAAGGTTTACCATTTGGGTTTGGGCTATTTGCACTTCCCATCAAAGTTTGCATCGTATTTAACTTTGATAGCCCTAGGAACTAAGACAAGTGGGCAAAGGGGTGCCATGGACCCTCCTAGATTTTGGAATTTTTTTTGCATAAATATAATAGTCTTATGTATATGTTTTGTGGGTTATTTAAGTTAAAACCTAATTAGATAATGAGTCTATTTATGCCCATGTACCCAAACCGAATAACTCAATCCCTCAAACTTGATTAACAAAATACCAATACCGGAAAGATTTCTAAAATCCCAAAAGCAATTCTCTGGACAGTGTTTGTGAATTCGAATACTCAACAAAATCTACGCTCTCTCTCTCTAACTCCCCATCTTCTTAGAATATCATTTCTTCTCAACTTCTCATTCATCAAAAATGTAACCTGGAATGTCTAAACCTTATTTTAATTTGTTGATTTAGACAATCTTTCTGTTTGTCGACTTAATTCTCAATTGATTGGTGCTAGTATCTTGACTTTGATTTGTTAGTTTTTATTTAAATATTTTGAAATTTATTTCCTCTAAACATAACAATATTTTTTCCTTTGAGTGTTGATTTGCTTCTAAGTCTTACATCCTAACAGTTTAGAATAATAAATATTGAAAATTAAAATCTTTACATTGAGTTTTTGGGGTTAATTTATTTTTTAAGATGAGAGTGCATTTTTACGTATTGAAACATGTCTAAAGGAAAATTGCTTGATTTATATGCGCAACACATATTACTTTTTTTTTGCCATTTAAATCTTTAAATAAATATAGAAATGATGTAAAACCCATTGATGATTGTCTCTCTGTCAATCATTTGCATTATTGTTTATATATCTCTAGAACATTTTTGGAGTGTATTCATATTATAGACAATTCTCTTTTCTCAAATAAATCATAATTCTTTAATTTCTTTTATTGTTTGAAATAAATTTCAATGGTATAACTTATAGTGTCGTCAATTTGTTAGTATTCGAAAAGATTAAAATTGTAATTATAATTATTGGACAACCGGCTAATGTTTGCAATCCCGAATTACAAAAATTATCTAATATTCAAGAATTATGTCAGGTGAGAATAAGAAACTCAACAATTAATTTACTTATTGAAAGATTAAATAGGCCTGTGCTTACGCTCCTTCTTTATCAACAGAATTAGAACAAGCATTCTTGATCATGAAGGTCATGAATAAAAAAATATCAGAATATTCTTGAATTATTCCTTGATCTTGTACATAGAAAAAGTGGAAAATTCGTTCATAGACGAGTTTATTTTAATAAAAGAACATTGACCACAACTTGGTTTGTTATCTATAAGAATAATTTAAGAATTCTATATTATGAGATTCGTCATTCTTTATAGAGATATCTTATGATATTTACCACTAGATCCTTCGAAGTTCAAAGCGTTTAACGTTGACTTCATAAAGTGACTTAAAAAGGGCATGAAAGTTAGAACTTTTGGACCCTGAGGTATTTTTTAGGCAAAAGAACTTAGGGGTGTCAAAATTGAAAATGGTGTAAACTTTGTGGTATTTATGTGCTAACATACAAGCTAAGGTAGAAAAGTGTCACTGAGACATAATAGCAGAGGGATTATCTGCACTTTTTGGTCATAAAGGAGTCATGGATGACCAACTGTGATGCTTCTTTAAGAATGACAGCAATGTTGATGCGTAAGAGGTAGTGAGACAAGTGGAGAGATTACTTGAAGTGGAAGGCTTATGATAAGAACATAAGCAAATTTGTACTCATTAGTGATACATATTATAGCATATGCCCTTTCTAATGTCATTCACGCCCTATCAACTTCGTATAATATATTTGATTTTTGGGTTGTGCTTAGTGTTGGATTTGAGATGCAAAGGAGGGGTGAATAAGGTTGCTACCCCTGTTTGCTAAAAAAACACATAATATGCAGTAGAAAGCATAAAATAAAAGCAATCAATCATACTGAAACACAAATAATAACTAATTAGGAACACGCAAGATTTTATAGTGGTTTTAAATAACAATCTTACGTCCATTTTTCTTTTTTGTGAAGAAGCTTCCTCATTATGTAAATAGTTCTCCTGAATCATAAAATAGACTCGGTAGACTTACAAGACCGCACCTTGAAATCTACCTGAAACCAGTCGTCTAACCTAACACTAGACAATTAGTAAAACATAGCCCTAGATAGTCCTAACATTCAATTAATCTACCTTGAGTATGCCATAAAAATAAGTTCAAAGTAAAATCAACACAAACAATTAAAGCTTAAGAAATCAAGAAAGATCTTACGTCCTTTATATAAAACAGCCCGTCCTTCGATTAATATAAGCATAGCCCAATGAAGAACAGCGTGGAGAATCAATCCAAGGAAAACACTCCTCGCTAAAACGATCCAAAGATATTGTGTGCGATGAGTAAGAATTTGTCGATGCTCATGTATTAATTATATCATCCGAACTAAATACTGGTACCAAATAGGAGGTTATTATTACCGAAACAACAGCTAACACTTAGGATCCACAAGCAGCTTTTCACATTTGATTAAGAAACTAAGTTAGTTAGGGACTTTTATCCTCTTCTACCATAATTGCTTCTGACAAAATGTTCTTCATTGAGAAATCAGCTAGATTTTCAATGGCAAACAAGTTATAAATGATCATTCTGGGTGTGTTTTTTTTCTTCTTTTTTTTTATCGCCATTCAAGGTGTATATTTGAGTTGAAAGAAACCGTTCAAGCATTTGTTAGCTTTCTAGTTAAGATGATATCCATAGTTGGAGCAGTACGCCTAATCGAAAGATATAGGCTAATGATGAACTACGTAAAGCTTTGAACTTACATAAACACTTTCCCATCCAAACTAAACTGACCAAATACCCTTCAACCAGATAGCTATTTGGACTGTATTAATAACAGTTAGTTCTCTGAGAAAAGGTTATAGTAGATAACTTATGTACGTATATGTATCACGTCGACAACATCATACAACAATGGTCATGCCCATATAATTTCTCTACTCATTTGACCTTTGATGACAAGGTGGTTGAAAAATCTGAAATAAATAACAAGCAAGCAGTACTTACAGGCTTGATATGGGACTTATCGAAGTTCTCTAAGCCTTATCAACATGAGTTTTCTGTAATACATACAGTTTTTCTACTTTTTGGTCCTTATGCCAAAAAATTTCTTAGTTTCTCTTACATCTTTCCACTCAAATCCGCTCTTTAACAATGTTTTCAATTGATTACTATGGACCCTATCCTTGACCATAATCAATATTTCATCAATATAAGCAGCAAATTATGAAAGAGCCATACGTGATCTTTCTGATCTAGCACGACTACCTTGCATATTCCAATATCTATTAATGTTCATCATGAGTTAATCATGCCTCTAACACTGTTCAGAAGTCTTTTTTTGACCAATATCAATATTTTCAGTCAGCAAACATGATCTTCATTTTCTTCAATCTCGAAACTCTTAGGTTACAATTTTCACAACAACTAGTTAATCATAGACGATTGTGATTTACCAGCAAGAAGGCATCAATAAGACAAAATGGAACTTAGTCTTACGATTAGTCAAGTATAGACGATTGTGATTTATCAGCAAGAAGGCATCAATAAGAAAGAATGATACTTAGCGTGGTACTTAATTTGAGTCTCAATAGATGAACATAATTTCATCTTAAATCAATCAGAACTTTGTAAAACATGTAGTTTGTTCTTTTTGGCAAAAAACTATATCTGCCAAAAATTAAGCATAAATTCTATTCAGTGTTTTCTATTAAACAATGATTTCAAAACTATACACAACAATGTCAAATTCAAGTTCTAGATTGTAATGCCTGCCAATTGCTTGCAGAATCCTGCTGCTCATCCGTACGTACATTGACAGAGGAAAAGAATACAGATTTGACATGAGAGGCCCATAGCGAGCCACTGAAAAAGTTCCATCCATTATCTTAAGATTCCTTTAGGATAGTTCTCTCATAGAGGCGTGTGCTGAAGCAACACACAAAGTATTCATCTGTACGAGTACTAAAAAAAATCAAACATGAATGATTAATTGAAGCCTATAAATACCATCCTGGACTCTCCCCTTAAGGCCTCACAGAAAAACAAACAATCTTCTAAACTTCTTTGAGTTCTCTCTGAGTTACTTCAATCTTTGTTTCTCATCATGTCGAGCTGTGGCAACTGCGACTGCGCTGATAAGAGTCACTGTGTGTAAGTATCCTCGTCATCTGAATCTTTCAATCTTCATACAACTTCTGCACGTTTGATTACTTCTTCTTCAGACTTACATTATATGGTATTTGAAATGTGATATTAATGAAAGTTGATGAGGAGGGACCATTTTTCTAACAATAATTAATTGGCTATTCTATAAGGTTGCAAATATCGCTGCCATGTGTATATATTCTGACATAATCTTCAGTTAGGTCTCCAACTGAAGTTTTTGAATGGATTTTGTAGGCAGAGATGCATATATCATACCATTTCTTCTGTTCAATACTTTCCTCTTTCACCGAAGTTTTTGAGCAGATTTTGTAAGCAGAGATGCATATACATACCATTTTTTCTCTAAAAAATTTCCCTTTTCATTGATGCATCATCTTAAGCTGATGAGGATGCATCTATCTTTTTCTTGTCTAAAAACTTTCCTTTTCCACTGAAGTCTTCATTAAAAAGCATAAAGAACATTGGCGTGGCATGGGATAATATAAATGATAACTGAAAGGGATCAGATTTCTTTAACTAATTAATTTTACAAAAATTGTACAGACTATAATTTAAATTTATAGAAGTTAGCTAAGAGAAAGTTGATTTGTGATTGCAGGAAGAAGGGAAACAACTATGGAGTTGTGATTGTTGAGACAGAGAAAAGGTATTGATGTCAAACGGGCACCTGCAAGTACTTTCACCTACATAATTTACTCTCTGACAAAATAGCTAGCAATAAGGAAATGTTCCTACATATTTAATCATATATAATTTTTGATTTATTTGATATGTATATGAATATGTAATACTATTTGTTCTTGATCGACGCTAAATGCTATATCCAGTTTAGACCAGAGAGATTCCCTCCATTTTGGTTCAGTGTACATAACATATATAAGAGGATAGAAGAAGGGTATTCTAATAAAATTACATGGATATCATCTGTACCTTTTTTACAGTTATATGATAATTTCTTGCAGAACCTTTGAGGAGGTGATCGAGGTTGCTGAGAACGATGGCAAGTGCATGTGCACCACCAACTGCACCTGTACCGGCTGTGGCTGTGGCAAATGAAACAATATGAGGAACTGATCACTCTATATGATGGTGAAAGTATCAAATATGTATTAAGGTCTAAGTCTAGGAAAAAGTCAGACTCTGGCTTCTTTACCTAGCTATGTAATAATCCTTGCTATGTCTTGTCTATTGAACTTATCTTATCAGTAATATGTTTTTATTGAGTATTTGTTTCTTGCTAAGTTTCACTTGATCTTGACCGAGTTGCATATCAACAAAGAAAGACTTACGGAGAAAAAATAGAAATCAATTAGAAATTTGCTGCAGTATTGAGATAAATTAACCTAATAAAGCTTTGGATTTGTCCCAGATGCGATATTCTGATGAATAGTTAGTATGATGGTGCAGAAAAGCTTCCACAAATTCTTCATTAGAACAGTAAAGGCCAACCTAAGAGACAAAGACATCCTTGCAAAGGATAAACCAATTAAAATCAGTAATAAATGAAAAAAGAATAACCACTACAACAAAAGTTGTATGTGTCCACACTTATTTTATGACACATATAAAGTGTCATTTTATTTGTAAAGGATTAATCAATAATGATACAAATAAAAAGTATAGCAAATCACAACACATATTTATGTTGTTAGATGTACAATTAAATATTGTTGGGAGCGAGGGAATGCCCACACCGCTTACGGAAGCTAAATCAATCCCGAGAGAAAACAACCAACAAGCAATAACGAATACACATATAAAACAATAAGTAAAGGAGATGACAGATTTACGTGGTTCGGCAAACTTGCCTACGTTCATGGAAGGCACACAAATAATTTTTTATTTAACCACAAGAAATTGCAAAGCTTGCAAAAGGAAGATCTCAAACTTGAGATCTCTCAAAAGAAATATAGATTATTGTAGAATTGCTACAGTACCACGTGTGATTTATTCAGCTGAATAAATACCCACTCAATCTCAATTTCAATAATTCACCGCAAGCTTAGAAGTTTTCACAGCCGCCACAGGGTTTCCCCTTTCTTCAAAATCGCGCGATGTGAAGGCTCTGCTCACTCAAATCACGTGAACTGGGTTTCCCTTTTATAGGGAAACCCTAGGGCGAGCTCTAGCTGACTCCAGCTGTCTTCCGCTCCACGTGAATCAATAGGCGAGCTCTAGGGCGACATGCAAGCTTAATCTCCATCAGGCGGTCCATCATGAGCAGGCGAGCTCGAACCGCCTCGCCCGCAGGCAAGCTCCACGCCTCAAACCACCTCGCCCGTAGGCGAGCTTCCTCGCCCTTGAAGCACGTAGGTTCGTTCTTCTTCAATTCTCCATCTCGTACAACATTTGATAAACCTTAAATTTTGGACAAACACCAGAAGAACACCACGAATGCCAAACAGGCCAAAACTTGCTGCACCATTATACCATGGTTGTCTACGTACCCTCTGACCGGGATCAAGCTAATCGTAGTTCTGCCTTTTACCCTCTTGACCAGATTAACATGGGCTGATATGAAGAAAGTCCAAGCAATATTGAAACTTGCTACTTGTCACCACCTTGGTCAAAATGCCTGCTGGGTTCTCAGTTGTGTGCACCTTCATGAGAGAAATATCACCTTCCTCTATGACATCCCGCACAAAATAATACCTGACATCGATATGCTTGGTATGAGCATAATAAACTTAATTCTTAGCCAAATGAATTACACTCTGACTATCCTACCACAAGTTCACACAATCCTGCTTAATCCCTAAATCGTCTAGTAGATCCCACAACCATAATGCTTCCTTCACTCCCTCTGCCATGGCCATGTACTCAGTCTCTGTAGTAGAAAGTGCCACTGTAGCCTGTAACATCGATCGCTAACTAACTCGAGCACTATGTATTCTGAATACATAACCAGTAGTAGATCGCAGTCTGTCTAGATTGCCCACATAATCTAAATCCACAAACCCATAAATCTGACATGTGTCTTCACCAAAACACAGACTCGTATCAGCGGTATCCTTCAAGTACCTCAAGACTCATTTTACTGCTTCCCAATGTGCCTTTCCCAGATTCACCATGAACATACTAACAGCACTGACCACTTGTGAAATATCTGAAAGTGTACACACAATTGCGTACATTAAACTGCCAACTGCACTAGCATAAGGTACACGCTCCATGTGGGCATTCTCTTCCATTATAGTGGGAGATTGTTTACCTGTGAGCCTGAAATATGGGGCCAATGGAGTCACCACTGACTTAGCACTCTGCATCCCAAACCTAGCGATAACCCGCTCAATGTAGTCCTTCTGACTCAAGAACAATCGCCAATTCGCATGTTCTTTTCTAATCTCCATACCTAGTATCTTCTTAGCAGCGTCCATGTCCTTCATCTCGAACTTTTTACCAAGTTGAGATTTTAACCTATCTATCGCCATCTTGCTTCTCGAAGCAATAAGCATGTCATTCACATACAAAAGAAGATAGATATAATCACCTCCACGAAGCTTCCGAATATAGACACAACATTCATAATTGCTTCTAGAGAACCCATGCTTTAGCATGAAGGAGTTAAATCACTTGTATCACTGTCGAGGAAATTGTTTCAATCCATAAAGTGATTTCCTCAAGCGACATATCTGATTCTCCTTATCCTCAACCTTGTAACCCTCAGGCTGATGCATATAGATTTCCTCCTCTAAGTCTCCATGTAAGAAGGCTGTTTTGATATCGAGTTGTTCCAGCTCAAGATCACCATGAGCAATAGTACTCAATAGCACCCGAATAGAAGTGTGTTTCACTACTGGAGAAAAAATCTCATTGTAATCCACACACTCTCTTTGTGCAAACCCCTTAGCCACTAGCCTAACCTTGTACCTTGTACCGCCGAGCTCGAAAGGATCCTCCTTTCTCTTGTTTACCTACTTACAACCAATAACTTTTTTCCTACGGGCAATGGAACCACCTCCCATGTTTGGTTCTTCCGGAATGATTCCATCTCTTCCTCCATCGTAGCCAACCAAATCTCATTATCCCTATTCTGAATAGCTTATTTGAAGGTGATCGGCTCATCATCCTCCACCGAGAGTGTGTACTCAACCAAATTTACCTGCCCATAGTGCATTAGAGGCTGATCTGACCCCAACTTCTGAACCTGCTTGTATGCTCGCCTTGGCCTAGTGGAAGCTAAACTATCTTCGAGCTGTTGTTGTAATATATATATATATTTTTTCTTGTTAAACCTCCTCTTGTTCAAGCTCATCATCTTCATGATTCTCCTCTGGAATATGACTAGAACCTGGTTGGTCTTTAGGTTTTATTTTAATCACCTAGGACTTAGAGGTCCTAATAGTCCCAACACCACTATTTTTGGATGCCCTGGCAATCAAGGATTTCTCATCAAAGGTAACATCTCTACTGATCATGAATTTAGAATCTTCTATACACCAAAGGCGATAGCCTTTTACGACCTTTGCATACCCCCAAGAATATTGCCTTCTTGGCCCTAGTGATGCGGCATAAACATGTACCAAAAAATATTGCAAGTGCATAACCGTGTCAAGCTATAGTACAAAGATATCGATCCATGAGGAAGGTGTTTTGTAGGAGAAAATATAAAATCGGTTCTTATGTTGTGTGCGTGACAAATAGGAGTGATGAGTGAATGTGATTGTGGAGAGATGGAGAGAATGAAAATGATTGTGTAAATGAATATATTTGAGAGTGGAAGTGATAATATAAATGTGATCAACAAGGCAAGAAGGAAAAATCAAGAACAAATAAAAATCAAGAATGTAAAGATAGCGGATTCAATTAAAGATATGGGTAATCTAGAATTGAATCCACTTCTTAGAAAAAGGTGATTCCCTAGAGGGTTCTAGTCTAAAGGCGAATCAAAGAAAATAAAAATAAACAAAAAGAAAAACTAAACCCAAGAGGGTTCTAGCCTCAAGCTGAACAGTACAAGAATTTAAAATCTAACTATGAAATAAATTGCAAAATTTAAACTACAAAATAAATTATAAGAATTAAATATAAGAAAATAAATCTAATCTATAAGCATGAAATAAATCTAAGGCAAGAGGGTTCTAGCCTCTTGGCTATTTAAATAAGAAAATAAAATCTATTTACAAGCATGAAAATAAATCTAAACTAATAAGCAATAAAAAGAGAAATAAGAGCATGAAAATAAATCTAAACTAATAAGCAATAAAAAGAGAAATAAGAAAAACAAACCTTCAAATTATTATTCATCTTCATCTTCATCTTCATCATCCAACAAAGAGAAGAAGAGAAAAATTTAAAGTGGTGAAAAAATTATTTTATTAATTATAACAAAAGTTACAAATTTGAAAGGCCTTCTCAATTAAGAGTAGTCCTCCTCTCCAAAAGGAGTTACAAAAATTTTCACACCTCTAACCCCTCACTCTCAACTCCTATTTATAGTAAACATCAGTGAATGAGAGCCATTGGATCAAATTTGAGCCCCAAGACATGCAAAATCAGTCATTGACTCGCGCTACAGTAAACTGGCATCGATGCAGGTATCGATGCCAGCATCAATGCCCACATCGATGCCGACATCGATACCCACTATATCCAAATTCTAATTTCACGGATAGATTCGTCTCATCGAGATAGGTGATTTTCATATATTATATGTTAAATTCCGCCTTCCGGATTAGGAGATATCGTCGTTTCTTTGTGGCCAACCATTTTGAATATGATTTCTTTTCATATTGGATTTTTGATTTTCTCCAGCTTCTACAGGCTACTCGGCTTGATTCTGGGCTTTAGGATAATTTGGAAATTGATTTTTCAATGGGCTTCTTTGCTTTATTTCTTTATTTAATCAATGGGTTTTTGTTGAGAGATGAGAGTTTGAGATTTATTCTTCATTAACCTGCAATTAAAAGATAAAAACAATTATTAGTAGTATATTTATTCATATAAAATAGATAATGAGGGTATAAAATTATAATAAAATATGATTATCATGTACCATAGGCGAAGCTCGAGCACGGGCGAGAAGAAAAATAAAAGAAAACCTAACTCACTTTCGCAGGAATCGCAGTTGTATTTAGCGCATACAACAAGCCTTTAAACCCCTAGGTTATCCTAGTGGACGAGTTGTAGTCTCGTGAGGGTTTGCACTGAATATACCCACAAAATTCGGTCTAATTGCCAAATTAAAGAAGTCAGTAAATAACTAAATTCACTTGATAATTGAAGCTA